CAATATTGCCCGTTTCCGCTACCGGGGACGAAACAGAGCAAGTGTGCATCCATCCATGCTTAAAGAATGAATGAATGCTTTCTGATGGAATGCTGCCGTAGCTTTTTGCATTATTCTTTTCTATTTGAAAGCGGCACATGGTAAGCAGAGAGGGATGTCATTGCATCACACATACACAACGGGCAAAATAATAATAATAGAAATAAATAAATAAATAAAAATACAAATAAAAACGGACAGAAGACTGACTGACTGACTGACATATATGGCCCTCCAGAGCCGCTCTCTACAAACTCCTCGCCTTCACCGTGCTGATGGTCTGCGCGCCGCTGGGCGTCTATTTCGGAACTGTGAATAGGGTGTTTGAAGGTGCGTTCAATTCAATTCAATCCATATCCAATGTTCTATATTACATTGGAACATTCTTGTCTTATTACATACATATCCGCTGCAAGCAGACCTTTCATTTCACAATCCAACCGCACCCCAACGCTAACACACAACGGTTAGGAAACTCCACGTACGCTGGCGCTTACGCTGCCGTCACTGCAAATCTTGTGGTGCTTGGGTATATTCTTATGGCGATATGGGAGGATAGTGGTGCGGAGAAGAGCCGGAAGGGGGATGTGGTGAAGGGGAAGGAGGAGTAAGTGCTGTTTATTGTAACCATATGCGATTGGGACGGGTTGGTTGGGATTGGATGAGATGCTACGAGCGTGCTTGTGGTAGATTTTGGTATGGGGAGGGGGGAACAGCGGAGGGTATTTAGATACTCTGTGACTGAATGGTTAGGTCTTGCCTTGCTATGTTTTGCCTCTTTTCACTTTGCATGCGTCGATTTATTTCCTTTCTGTATTATATAGTTTTAACTACATATCACTATTTGGATCTGATTTGAAAGTGGCACTGGTAACTGGGATATGCACTCTTAAACGTTGCGCAAGTTGAATATCAAATTTGCTCGTTTCACTCACGAAGCGAAAGATTTCTACAAGACATGAAAGATAGAATGAGTAACTAACAGAAGACACTACTTGTGTGGGAGACCCGAGTGTCCGACAGAATATAAGACCACATTCGTTTGAAGTGAGCCTCCGTTTGAATAGCTACTAACAAGCAACTCACAAACACACTAGAGTCTGAACTTTGTTTGAGAATGAGATTCTGTATGAGATGCTGAGGCTGAAGAATTAACAGCACTGATCTGTGGAGTAATGAGTGAAAACCGAGCTAACCACAGGTACAGAAAAGGAGAATATCACAGTGCAAGAGACCTTTCTTTGTATTTCTGAGCCGCAGACGAGGCCGAATAATGACCAGGCCAAGTAGGGAATATGCCTTTATGACTTCTCGGAATTAGCTTGTTATCTTATACCTTTAAAACCAAAAAAAGAGCACCCAGAGGAAAATATTGTTCTCCACTATTTAAAACGAATCAAAAAAAAAGAGAGGAAAAGCAAGTAATAAAAATTTCCACTAAAGGGAGGGGAACCAAATGAACTATGCGATTCCTTCCGTCTCTTCCGCCCTTTCTCCTAACGCTGGCTGAAACGTTTCGTTCGGGTCGTTAGTTCAGAGGAGTTCGCATTTTCTTCTCTTTTCCCCGT